ATGCGTGCTGTCTGTGTGTGTCTGTGTGTGTGTGCGTGTAAGCGAAGGCAGACGAAAATTTCGCGTAAGCAATAAAATAATGAAAAAAAAAGGAAGAACAAATAAAAACCGGTTAAAAAAAAAACAACGAAAAGAAAAAGCAGCGGTTTTAGGGCCAACGACTGTTGCTGTTGTTGTGGGGCTTGTTGTTGCTGTTGTTGTTGTTGTTGTTGGGCGTCTGCTTCTAGTTTCGATTGCAGGCTTCAATAATTAAAAATTGCATTGTTTTTATAGCGGCCAGCCCAACAGCAACAACAGCAATAACAACTCAAATGTCGATGGGCAGCGACGATAAACGCAACTAATTTCGCTTCTCTCGCTTATTCATCAATTTAATTTCGGTGAGCAAGAGGCAACAACAATAGCAACAGCAGCAAAAAAACAACAACAAAAAATGAAAGCCACGCCCATCGCTGGCTTATTTATTATATGTATTTTGATAATAACAATTCCATTTGGCTGTGTGTGAGTTAACATTATATATATATATATATATATATACATACTTATAGGTATATTCGCACAATATTGTACAGTGCACGCCAGATAATTAGAAACAGTTTGTTCCACCAAAGCCTTGAATTGAATCCGCTGTTAACAACCGAAATAGGTTAATAATTTACTTCGCTAATAAATATACAAATATTTAGAGTAACTAGCTGATCAAGTTAAATTCAACTTTAATGTTTAAATTATTCAATTAGATTTGCTAACACATTTTAATATAATATGTATATATTTACATTATTATTTAACTATTGAGCGTTCACTGTCCACAGACATGCATCGATGTATGTATGTACGTATGTATTGTATGTATGTATGTATGTATGTATGTATGTATGTATGTATGTGTGTATGTATGTATGTATGTATGTATGTATGTGTTTCACACTTTATGGTGTCTCATTTGCAGCGCAATAGCTGCTGAGTTGCCCGCCAATGCTGGAAAATTTTAATTAACAATTTTATTAGCTATGGTTGAGAATAAATTCATAAATAATCATAATGTTAATGAGCTACTACTATTTGGTTTTTATCGCCATTGCTTTTATTAGTTTAACATTTGCTATTGCTATTTTTTCCACCTCTAAATTCAATTGTCAAATACAACAAATTGTAACATCTTTTGTGTGATTTATATCATATTAAAATCATATTTTTAAACTAAGGATTGATTACAAGTAGTTAATAGAATCTCCAATAGTAAAAATCTGTTGAGTTTAGAGCATTATAATGAATCGTGTTTGATAATTTATATGCATTTATAATGCAGAGTTTTCCCAAAGTTAAAGCATTGAAAAATTTGAAAAGCAAAAACAGATTTATTTTTAATTTGAATTCTTGAGTTTTGAACATTAGCAAATGTGGATAAAACAGAAACTACTCAACATATTTGAGTTTCAAAACAACATTTACTGATTCGATGATGCGACATATTTTGCCTTTTTCAAGATCGCACACAAATAAAATGACGGCAACAACAACAACAACAACAACAAAAACGCGCAACAAATTTTTAATGACAATGCGGTTGATGGCTCAGCAGCATCTAAACTGCGCCCAAACGGCAACAATTCTGCTGCTCTCAAATACTTAATCAAATATTTATAACGCCCTGACGCGGCACACACTCGTGTGTGGGTTACCGTTATGCAATATAAACAATCAGACACTTGCCCCCCGAGAGAGAAAGAGAGAAAGCGCCACAAAAAGAATTTAATACAAATCGTTGCCTGTCAGCAAACAAGAAGCCAAACAAATTATAACAGGTGCCGTTGCTGAGTTTCCGAGTGCATTAAGAACCACACACACACACACACTTAGACACACACACACACACACACACACTTAGACACACACAGATGCCCCCAAGTTATGGAATTGAGTGCTGAATGGGGTTGTGAAAGAGGAAAAGAACGGGCGGGGCGGGAAGGGGGGCTACAGCTAATTTTCACATTGCTGGCAGCCAAGTGCTGAACTGAAAATCTGTAAGCCAAAACAGCAGTTAACGTCACTGAGATTCAAAGTGAGAAAAAGAGAGAGAGCGAGACAGACAGAGAGAGAGATACGTAGAGAGAGAGAGAGAAAGACAGCTCCCAGAGTTGGTAATTTAATGTGGGAACAGCGAATGGCGTTGATGCTGAACACGTGCGGCGCCGGACACCCCTCCAACAAAAAAACAAAAAAAAACAACAAAAATATACATTTTTGGAGTTGTTGTTGCTGGAATTGAATGTTGTCTTGTGTTCAATGTGCTCGATTTAATTTAAAAACGATTCAAAAATCAAGCCAACTTCAATGGTTTTAAACTGTGCGCTTAACCCAAGTAATTAAAGCTGTGCCGCAACTGAAAGAAGAAAATATATATATATATATACATATATATCATCATCAGCAGCAGCAGAGCAATGGGGCACGACTTCAACTCCGACTCCGACGCTGACTTTGAATCGGACTCGAACTCGAACTCGGACTCGGACTCGGACTCGGACTCGCTTCATTTGAAAATTTATGACTTTTTGACAGCCCACATTATTGTTTAATCGTGACTTTCGGGCCAAAATCTGTGGTCGAGTTAGGATTTAATGCTAAAGGCATTGACATTTTAAATCGGACGACGCGCGAATGACACCAGCATTATTTCCATTTCACATACGATAAAGCCTTAATTAAAAACACCCACATACATACACATATACATTTATACACACACTTACATACATACATGTGTAGTTGTGCAGTTTGGCAAATGTACACTTGGCTTGGCAATTGTAATTGATACACCCTCTTCTCGCACAACCAACGATCGATGTGTGTTGTCAATTAACACAACAAACGTGGAATTTTCACTGTATGAAATTTCATGCAAAGCACCAGAAACGAATCAAGTATGGCAAGTAGGAATTGGACAAAGGGTGGATGGGGAGTATTGGCAGGAAGATGAGTTAGCTGGGTAACCCATAACCGATGACTGGGACTGAGACTGGGACTGGGCAGCAATGTTTGCACAAGGCTATCATCGAAAGGGGCAATATTCGGAGGAGCTCGAAAGCGAAGCTATTAACAATTATGTAAATATGCAGTCCAGTGGGACTGACTCAGTGTGTGCGTACATACATGTACACATTTACACACAAAAATTTACAGCTACACTGCACAAAATTAAATAATTTAATATTATTTATATACATTTTAGCTATGAAATGTACTAAATATATTTCTCTGCATTTAAATAAATAATTAAATATATTTTTTCTGCATTTATCGTGTTAGCAGTTAAAATGGGATCAAATAGGTAAGTGTTGCAATAAAACAATAATTGAAATTTATTTCGGTTCGTAAAGAATACTAAATATATTCATATTTCCAGTAATGGAAAGAGTTACATTTTCTTTGATCTAAATTTAATGTGTATTTTGTTAAATTCATTAAATTCAAACTATATACAAAAGATGATAATTAAAATTGTGTTGAATTTTACTTAAAATTTCTTTGCGTGTATTTATAAACTCTGGCTCATTGTTGATCAACGCGGCACAGTGTCTATCAACAGTGAAATAAAAATGAAAGAAAAACAAAAGGCCTAACAAGAGTTTTATTGAAGAAGAGACACATACCTGTACCCTATGTACACACACACACATACACAACATACACACACACACACACACACACACACAACACACTCATATTCGGAAAGTGGCTGGCAGAGAGGCAATAAAACCCATTTAATATTCATTTAAGGTACTAACAAATAATGCAAATATTTGAACATTTTATTTACATATGAACGCCATCAAAGAGTTGAATTGAAAGAGATCTTTCAATTGATGAAAGGTGAACGAGATCCCACAGAAGGCCTATGCCAAAGAGATATACCCACAGATAGATCGGTCTCCAGGCCCGGCCGAGAGATGATGCTCCACAGCGTCTAGCTCACAAAACAGATGAATCTATTTGTATTTATGAGCATGTGTGTATGCACTTGTGTGTGCACTGTGTGTGTGTGTGTGTGTGTGTGTGTAAGTGTTGCTGTGTGTGTATAATAAATGCGTTGTATGACCATTTAGCATGTCACCTTTTAACGGCTCTATAGCAAACAAAACGAAAAAACAAAAACAAAAAAGAGAGACACAACAAGAAAACTAAATAATGGCCATACTTCATATTCCATAACCACATCTGCTTAATTTTGAATCAACAATTTAACATTATAATTACGTTTCGAATCATCTGCAAACAGTCGCGAGTCTCTCGATTGCATCAATGCAAACCTTTTAGTCAAAAACAAAATATAACAAATACGTCTTATACATAATCAAATCAGCGAAGAGCGAGCGCTTGACGAGATTTCAGATTGGCAGTGGCAGTGGCTGTGGCTGTGGCTGGCTGCGGCACCTTTCCGACGGCAAAGCAAAGAGACAAACGACTTAATTGCGGTTCGATCGATGGATCGATGTGACAGGGCGTGTCGAGGGCGTGTTTAATGCATATTTTGGAAAAGTATATACACTTATATCTATAAATATATATCTATATATATGTATATAGTATGTAGTGAGCTTAATTGAGTTGTAGCTAGTGGTTTCTTGAAAAATATTAACCCTCAGGGATATACTCAGGGATATACTTTGAATCAGAAGTTGCCAGTTTCAACTGGTTTCTTGCACAGTTACTATTAACTATATTTAAATTTAGATCTATTTAAAAATGAATTCTAGATGATCAGAAGAAATTCGCATTGAAAAAAGTTGTCAGATATAACTATAAACCCTTTTAGACAAACTTTATGGTAATTAAATGGTTTAAGGCAACTTTAGAGATATATAATTTAAATATTTTTAAGGAAACCTTTATAAATTGCAGCCGAAATGTTTTGATTTAAGTTTAAAAAATAAACCATTTCTTCTACTCGAGTTTTTTACTTCGTTTTTTTCGTTCAATATTTTATTGCTTACCAAATCGTCACCCAAATCGGAATCGCGCTCAATATTATTATTTGAACGGCCGCTACAATCCATAGTCGGATGCACTCGGAGTTGCATTAGAGCGAAGTTTGTGTTAAAGCCTCCGGGGTGAAATTTCAATATTTATAATGGCAAATTGTTTCGATATGTATATATAAATATATATATATTTATATATATACATATATATGTGTGTTTTGCGAGAAATTAATACGCGAGCTTTTAACTTTCTACGTAATTTACACACAGCCAACTCTTTTTTGTTTTTGTTATTGTTGTTTCTATCTCTTTCTCTCTCTCTTTCTGAGATATATTTTTTTTTTTTTTGGTTTGCCTGTTTTGCTTTTGGCTTAGCTCCTGCGTTTATAACATCGAATAACCGTAATCAAATAATCGAGTTTGAGTTGTCGCCTCGCTTTTTGTGCTCATTACTGTTGTTGTTGTTGGTTGATTTCGCAGCTGCAGCTTTGGAAAAGGGATTAACGCTAAAGCACCGTTTATCGATGAACGCTTTATTTTTCTTTTTTTGTGGTTTCGTTGCTTGTTTTAATTGCGACACTTTTTGCGGACTTTGATTGGAATTGAAATAAATACTAATTGTAATTATTGTAAATGTTTAATTGGTCTTTTGCACACAGAGATTCACACACGAAAACCCACAATATCAGATCACATTTGAGTGCACGGCGTTTACTGTTGTTACCTGATGGAGATCGGCTCCTGTTGCTGATTATCAATCAACAATTAACAATTTGTTCATTTATTTCACGTCTGATATCTCGCGTACTGTCCGCATTCGCCCGACGCACACGGAACTCCAATTGGGAATAAAAATAATTCTCTCCGCACATCAAAAACGATGCGTCAAAAGACGGCGCTCGTTAAATCGACTCTCTCTCTCTCTCACTCTCTCTATTGCGGGTGCATGCTCTCCGGAACGACTGGGACTGAGTGGAACACGAGCAGTGGCTGCGCGCCAACACGGCTGTTTGTGTGTGTGCCAGTTCCATTCGTATTTTAATATGATGCCCGCTCTCGCTCTCGGCAGCTGGCCAATCGGATTGCCGCTTCGCCTGTGCTCAGGTGGCATTCAATTAAATTTGTAATCATAATCTATGCAATACTAAAGTCGTGTGTGTATACAATGCGCTCGCCGCTCATTCGTTCGCCACACACACACACACCGCTACTGCTCGCACTCACATGCGCTCGCTGTGTTTGAGTATTGGTGCGCGTCTACACTGCTGAGCATGTTTAACGTGCTCCATTCAAGTGCTGTTTGCCCAGTTTGTAGTTGGCCCATTTTGCATAACGAAAATCAACTCAAACGTGTTGCGCAGTGCCATTGTGTTTGAGTGTTGAGTGTGTGTGTGTTGTATTTGTTTGTGTGTGTGTTGCTGTTGTTGTTGTATTTGTTGTGTATCTTTCAATCATAAATGCGCCGCGTTTTTTATACGCGATTTTATTTGAAATACGCCCTTTTCATATGGAGAGCCGTTGCTTTTTGGGGCGTTAACATTTGTGGCTTGTGGCCAGCCTTTACCAAATGGCGTTTGATATGCAGCAGCACACACAAACGGGGAAAACAGGCGTTTTTCCCTCAATCGAGCAAATTACACACACACACACACACAAGCACACACACTTTCCACTTTTCGCATACAAGAACCAAAAAGCTCGCTGAAACTTGATTAATGATTTGCGAGATAAATTACACTTGTAATGGCCCAAAAACGTTAGGTGGAATGAATGGCTGGCTATATAGATAATAAAGAATGCTGTTACCGTTACATTTTCGAAGCAGCCCCCGCAAATAATTTCAGTTGCTCTTCGATTTTCACTAATTTGAAATTGATGAAAGCAGCGACGCAGCAGCGGAGGCAGCAACAGCAACAGCAGCAGAGGCACCAGCACCAACACCAGCAGCAGCAGCAGCAGAGAGTATATCAATTTTCGCCGGCATGTCTGTTGAAATGAACATATGAATGTTTATGTATGAATATGTACAGTAATCGCTCGTAAAATGACATTTTTCAAAATTTAAAATTGTATCAAAAAAACTACTTGGAGGTTGTGCAAATAGATCAACAGTCATATTTAAGAATTGGCAATTTGGAATTCAGTTTTTAAGCTTTATGAATTCTTAATAGGAGGATGTGTGTTCTAAGCTGCGAGCGATCACTGTAGATGGACGCATTTTGTAGGGAGCGCAGGCGCGCTCATCAAACACCAACAGGGGCAGCAGCAGCACCCCGCACTTGAAGGGGGTGGTGGTGGTGGTGACCGGAATGCTACCCCCCAAGCGCCAATGACGAGCCGGCGGAGGCGGCGGCGGCGGCGACCCACAGACTTGACTGATGATGAAGTGAGAAAGTAATTAAATACAATTTTAAATGTGACTAATGAGACGACGTCAAATTCGTGGCGCAAATGAGTTGGTGGGCAGCAAGGGGTTGGTGGGTTGGGGTCGGGTCGGTCTAGTTGGAGAGGTGGGGTGCTCTTAGCATCGTCTTCGAGCTGAACGCATTTATCAATATTCAATAAATAGAACGGCATTTTCGCACGCACACTAAAACAGCAGACAGATCCGCTGTGCGTGTGAAACAAAGTGTATCCACAAGATACATACATATATATACACAAAGCAAAAAGTGCGCTCACACACACACACACACACACAGATACAGAGGTACTTACGCCTTGGCAAGTATAACAATTACCGTTTGTTGTTGCCGTTGTTAACTTTCATTTGGGGCCAAAGCTATTTGATTTTCAAAGTACGTCCCGTCCGCATTTCAAATGCCAAAAAAAAACAAAAACAAAAACATAACAACAAAAACAACACACAGAGAGAAAAAAAACACAAAAAAACAACAACAAAAATAAAGCACAGGTGAAATTTGTTGTGAGCTGTTTTTGTGTTTAATTCATAGACACATACTTACATACATACATATATATATATTGGTAAATAGGTGTACATCGTATATTTGTCAACACGTCCATTTCCTGCATTTTGTGTTTTTTAGCCGAAAATGAAATATGTACCCGAAACAATTCGAAAATAAATAAATACACATCCATATGAATAGAGAAACGGCGATACGGAGACATGTATTTAGATACCGATACAAAAGGTACATAAATATATATATATATATATATATATCCATTTAGATATATTTATGTATTTGCGTATGTATTGATTCGTGTTATTGTCCACACACATCCGTTGTAATGGGAACTGCGGCTCTTAAAGGCCTCGTTAGTCGATGAGTCTTGCGAGTTTGTGATTTGGAATTAACACTTGTCCATTTGTCTGCTTGGCTGGTGTGACTTCATAGGAAATGCTGTCGCAATATAATTCTTTGGCAATTTGATATTCTAACTAAGTGGGGGAATTATCCCATGCCCAAAAAAACCCATGCTTACTTCAAAAACTAGCTGCCAAACAAATAAAAAGATTGCCTTTGATAATTTGCGTAGTTTTCAAAAAGGCAGTGGAAAATTTGAAACGATTGTTTTGGCAAGAATTTCTATAAAAATGAACCTGAAATGAAGTATTATTTTAGAGGCTAAAATACAACCAAAGAAGACATTGCTTGGCCGAATCGGTTGGGTATCAAAAAAGTTATGGCTGTGTACAATTTAGACCCATTCAACACTTGCAACGTTTTTTTACCTATATGAAAATATCACACTTACCTGTTCATTATAAATGATAGTGAATTGACTTTGATAACGTTGAAATTAATTGATTTAAATCATATGCACCAATTAAAAAACGGATTAATTAAAGGGCCAGCCCTCAATGTTTGTTGATGTCGATGCCGGTTTTGCGAATGTAAATGATCGAAATGAGGATGAACCCTCGGTGTGGTCGATAAAAAATGCGGAATTAATTATATGTTATTTTCCAGCGATTTACGGTGGACAAGGCGGTGTTGGAACGCTTCGGGTGCCCGGGTCAATTAATAAAACACCATTTAAGCTATCATTAATTCAGAAAATGCAATTTGTCAATCGGACTGTGACAGACAATCACCGAGTTTTGTGGCAAACGTGTGAGAAAGCGATTTCGTTAACTAATATCTCCGACTTCGTCTTCGACTCGACAACATCGATTCCGACTCGAACTCACAGCCTTGTTAAGCATTCGGATAGGGCCCTGGGCCAAAGTCAAAGCCAAAGCCAAATTGATTGACCAGATCAACATGACCGTCGTCGTCTGAATGAACTCGAAAGCATCGCTCATAATTGATGATATTTAGCTAGGCATGCCAGTCTATTTGTATCCACACATCCACATCCACAGTCATAGTCACATCCAGAACAAGATGAAAATGGCCAGCGGATCATTTTTGAGATCATTTCACACACTCACCCAATTTTGCTTGAGGCCTCTCAAAACAACAAAAAGAAGTAATAAAGCTTCATTAATAATTTGTGTATATTGGCTGGTGGGTCGACTCTGGATAACCAGCCATTTTTCTACTTCTTCTTCTTCTTGTTGTTGTAATACATGTAGTAAAATACAGTTAGAAGCAATCGCCAAAAAATCATTCACAAATTGAATATTGCAGACGGTCCCCAAAAACTTTCCAGTTATTGTTATACAAAACTTTATGGCATCATTAACTCGCCACTTTTGAGCTACATTTTCAGCAACTTCCTCTCCGTCTAGCATATTTTTATTTATTTCGCTTTTTGTTTTTGTTTTTTGTTTTTGGAAATATCTTTAATGAAGTCGAGTAAACTGCTGCCAAAAATAGAATATTAATTTGGGCAAAAAAAAAAAAAAGGCATAACGGATGCGCCTGTCAATATTTTGACAGTTTCTCTCACAGAATGAAGCGAGCGGAGCAGGGAGTAGAATTGGAGCCATCACGAGACTTGCTGACGTCGCATCTGGCAAGCGACTAGTGGATCTTTGTGGATCTGTGGATCTGTGGATCTCTGCTGGCTGCTGTAATGCACAGTTTCCATTCCGGGAATGTTACGGCAAAGGCTTTAATTGAATTTCACTGGATGACGATGCCCGTTGACGGAGATGCTGCTGCCGATGGTGCTTCTGCTGCTGTGGCATGCATACACATATATA